GAGCTGTCCCGCTGCGGGCGTGCTCCAAGGCTTTGCTCCCCGTCTCCCTGCAGACCAGGGAGACGGGGAGCAGCTTTTCTCGCCCCGGAGGACGGGGGCGGCGGACCGTGGCGCATCTGGGCGTCCCGCCACTCCCGTCCTCTAGGGCGAGATAAGCCCCGTTCGTAACTGCGGAAAGTCGGATCCGCGTAACTTGGGGACTGCCTGTATAGCCAATTGCCTGACTGAATCAGGCCAACGGTCCATCTCATCCTGTCTCTGGGCTGGGCTACCTCACTGTGGGCGATCGATCTACAGCATGCAACTTGCAGCTATATGGATAACGTGAATGGTGCCTTCACTGCAGTGTATTGACTGGTGATGCTTTCCCATTGACTCCCCTTGTGCTTCTTGTTGAGGTGGGAGTACCGGAGTCAATCCTATTGGTGCGGCCTATAGTGAAGACATGCTGTCACGGAGGCCAGCACCAGATGCTATAGCGGAAAGAGCAAGAAGCCTGAAGCAGGCAAAAATGGGGTAATCTGCCTCATACATTAGGTGTCAGCCCAATCAAGACAAATCCTTTTTCTCTAGAAAATTTAAACTTTACAGAGGGGAAAATAAATGTTACCGGTAAGGTCACTTCTATTTCTTCCCCATTCATTCACCTTCATTGCCATAAATCCTGTCAATAAAAGGAAAACTACAGGGATAGCCGTACATCAGACACAGAGTTCAGACTTAAAATCAAATTTATTTAGAGGAAAAATGACTTTACAAGAGGGTGCTGCTGCTAACTAGAAAGGAAGATAAATAAAAGCTTGTTACAAAACCTGATGTTTTCAGGAAACTTACAGAAAAATTGAAGAATTTTACAGTCAATAACCTGCTCACTTTTTACATAATTACAAATTAACAGACAGCAAATGTTTTACCCTCGTTTTAAATTTTATTTTTTAACATTTAACTTTTTTTTATCTTACAGATTCAACATGAAACAATGCAAAGCATTTAAAAAAACCCGAGAGCTGGCGGCAGAGGTATTGAGTGTTAACACACACCCTCAACATTCTCTGGATTGCGCTAGTGCATTCCATATTAGTACAAAATAAACGCGAGGCTAAACTTTAACCATAGGCAACTTGAACTGGACATCGATGTTCTGAGTCAGTGTTCATCATCAATAAAGTTAAAAATACATAAGCGTGTGGATGTGTTCGATAGCTGTAGATGCTTAAAAATACATCCAAAGCTTACTGCTGAATGCAAAGCAGCGAACAACATCCTCTTTTCCTTCCAGGCAATGGAAGCAGAATATTTTAGGGTATAGCTTCAATATCGGTGAAGTGCAAGTGCAGGGGAAAGGCAACGAGACCCTAAAAGGTATAGTGATAGTGGTCTTCCGATTACTCAAGAGCATGAGAAGTAAAAGACTAAACCAGTTCAGCTTGCCTATCTTTAAAACTTAGCGTGATCACTGGATAAAAGGACTAATCAAGGATTGCTGCCACTTCTGACAAATGAATTATGAGCACTTCAGGATGATGTATTTCATAGGTTAATTTAAATTATTGTAAGTTACAAACCTGGCCAGCAGGTAGAGTAGTTTCCAGAGTTCTGGTTAACAAGGAATGTTATGCTAAGTTTAAACAGGTCATCAAATCCTTTGTTGCCGCCTTTGACCAGTCTTTCCTTGTCCTGCTCTCCTTAGATATCTAGCTAATCCAGACAACTGCCATAGATTAGGCACCCACCACACTCTCCCTAACCTGATGCCTTCACAGATCTCTAGCATAGTGGACCAGATCAGTAAAAGCTTTGGGGTGTTTTGGGAACACTAAGAAGTTGTGGAGATTACAAGACTCTACAAATACCCGTGAAAGAAAATATAAATCAGTCCCATCTAAATTTAGACCTGTGGTCAGACTTCAAGCGCTATCTGTAGTGAAGAGCTCCGGCCATCGCAACTGAAAGCAAGTGGTCCCCTCCCAGAGACATAGCCAGAAAGGACCATGGTTGTATTGTATAGTAAGTAGCCTAGCATATGCAAATAGCCTCACTGCCCGGCACTCATTGGCTACAGCCATCACTCCTTTTTCCAACTTTCAACCTCCTTTTGCTCTATGAGGACATCAATGGACTGTCACTCTTTACTCAGCATTCTCTCTTTTTGCCAGGGAGGGGATATCAATGCTGATGCTAAGTCTCCGGTTACCCAGGAGCAAGCGAATCCCTCAGGCCCTTACCCCAGCCCGCACTGCTACTCTTGATTTTCCTCTAGCATCACAGGTAAGATGAGTCTTCCAGGCTGGGGAGATGGGCTAGATTTCAGAAGGGACTGACCGAAAGGCTGAGTAACAGATGAATCTCATAAGGAGAGGAAGGTGGAGGACTCTGCGCTTGCTACATTTACAGTGGTAAAATTCATACTTTCTGAACTTTGGGCTAAAAAAATAATAATATGGAAACTTCCTGCCACATCATGACCCCTAAATCTCTTCAAAGACCTCGTACTGAAATATTTTGTAACTTCTAAGCCCCTCCCCAGATTGTATCGGAGATGGGGAGGGGAAACAATTATCAGTCTGATTGTCTCAATATAACCAAAAAGCAGCAAGGAAATGATGAGACGGATTCCATTTAAAGCACTTTTAGGCACTGAACACAGGAAATGATATCCTGAGATAATCACTTAATTTAAAACATGGTGACATCAAATCCCACTCAATCCCTTTGATTCTAGAGAACACTGACTAGATCTGCAGTCTGATCACCTATTACGTGTGTGACCAGAAGTGAAAGTCATCCTTCACTATGCTGTTCACTAGCGCTCCTTCTACTGTGCAGTAAGTGACCATGCCAAGGCCTGCCAGAGGCGTAAGATGGGACACTCCCACCAATGATGACTAGCAAAGGCAGCACATCCACAGCAGCTCCTTGCTAATTCCTCTTCTCCCTGCCTCACAGAATAGAATCAACGCAGTTCCCCCCAAACCTGGCTGTCCTGCACAGCAGAAGCACAATGCTTAGCAGGTGACTTCTGATAGGACCCATACCCCAGAAATCCAGTGGGATGTCAGGTTCTCTCTAAGAAATAAAGTGCACTCTCCAAACAGCGTTAGATGCCACACATGGAAGTGAAACCAACATCATTCATTCATGAAGACCAGGAAAGGAAAAAAAAATGGTGTCACAAAACTTAAGACAAGTAACAGACCCACTTAACACTATCCCTGGGATTATGCACCCTCTGGGTAATACTAGATAATCTGCACATCTGAGAGTGGGAGTCCATCTCTAGGGTTCAATTCCAACCTTTCAAGGAAAACTGAGCAAAATGGCTACAAAAATAAACCTTCCATTTCCTAAAATGAAAGAAAATGGAGGAAAGAAGAGGATGGGACTATAGGGTTCAATCTAAAATAATCAAATCAGGCAGCAGTTTACATCCACCAATGAGAAAGGGTTTCTGTCCACCACAAAACCAACACAAACCATTTTGGTAAGTGATGCCTTTGGCAAGGGACAACTGGGAACATGGGCAGCTAGTTGCTTGGTGCAATGCAGTCTAGCTTAGCCAGTGTATTGAATGCAGTTCTATTTACAATAGAGTTAGAGAAGACCAGTTCAGACAATGTTTCATCCCCACTGCCCTCAGCAGATGTGCCTTGATTCACACGAGCTATTTTATAAGTTCATGAAGTGCTGATTCTGGGAACAGGAGATGTATCACTTGAGCAGAAGAAAGGACTCATGTGGGAAAACGCTCCTACAAGCTAAATGGGATCCTTCAAAAATACTAGTGGGGAAAGTCTGTCGCCATGCCATATACTGGATTGGTTTCACACGCAGGCAATGATCAGGGCTAACTGTGGCTCTTTTTTCCTATTTCTTAGTAGGAACGAATGCTAACTGAAGTCAATGGAAAGATGTACATTGATTTTAGAGGGCAGGGAATCTGGCCCTTGCATCAAGGGCAAAATTTACTTTGCCCCAAAAAGGGGTGGGAATACACAACACAAATCTATTTAAACAAGGAAACAAAAGGCCAGCAAGGCTCCTGAGTGAAACCACTGCTTCTCTTCCTAATTTGTTTTATCTGTCCCGGAGATAACTTTGCCTCAAAGATAGATGGAATTCCTTGTATTTTTCCGATTTTCAGGCAGGACACAGGCTGCCATGCAGCACTGAACACACCCTGGTTTTGTACGAAGCCACGACAAAATAAAACTGTTGGGCTATCAAGCTCATCTTTAAAAAAAAAAAGATACAAATAAAAAAATAAAACAAAATAATTTTTTAAACCAGACCTCTTTCAAATAAACAGAAAGATAAATATTCTGCAAGCCCAGCTTGCAACAAACAAGCACCAGATACTATTTTTAAAAACAAAACAAAAATATAACCTCAGAATGCAGCTTACTTGTTTTTGTTTTGTTTTTGAGTATGAATTGTTTAGAGAGCTTCAAAAGCAAGCAGGCTATTCAGGAATCCCCCGCTGATTGAGACAGAGCGATCTAAGCACCCATATTGCCGTCATTGCTACTGCTGCTCATTATTAAAAATGTTAGCACTAATTCTGAAATCTACTGCATGGAACTAGCTCGTGGAGGGATACAAAGCAAATAAGAATCAAAACATAGTGCAAAAATATTCTAAAAAAGGAGTATCTGAGGGAAAAGAAATGAATATGACAGCTTGAAACAGCTCAAGGGACTGAAGTGGAGAGTCTCATGACATTTACACATCAGCTTACAGGCAAATCTCCTGAGGTGTGTGGAAAGACCAATGAATTCAGAAACACTGCAGCTCTGCACAACTATCACCCTTGCTCTTCACACTTTACCACCATACTTAGCAGGTGTATAACATGCCGCACTGGGGCACAACCGCTAATTCTCACAGGGAACTAAGACGACTGCGACTTTCCAGATGGAGAAACGGAGACGGAGAGGCACACAGTGAACCCATGAGGGTACGGAGACCAGGACTCTGGAACTCCTGACCTGCAATACAACGATCAGCCCACTAGGGGACACAGCAACGTACAGGCATAAATACTGGACTCTATGTTCCTTCCAGTTCATCTGCTCACACAAGTTATTCCCCTCCTCAGGTTACAAACCCTCTGCCATCTTGTCTGAGAGCTCTGGGATTTTCTATGACATTGCTTCGGGTTAGGAATGAGCTACAGGAGCTGATGGAATCTGGAGAAACAGAAGCCCAGTGATCATGCAAATGACATGGCTAAAAAACACCAGGGAAAGAAAATGACAGGCAGTGGATTAAAAAACTTGACCCCCAAATGGAAGGTTCTCAAATGTTCTTAGGATGGGTCAGTGAATTTGTAACAAAACAGTGTTCATCCCAAATGACGTTGTGCTGGAGAAATGTAACGTGACAAAGAAAGGCTTGCTCAGAAAGAGGAGGGAATAAGCAGTAACCCATAGACACACTGAAAATGAGATGTCACTTTAACACAGTCTGTCCTGGCTCCCTGGGATTACTTCTCAAGTACTTTTCTCCTTGTGGAACATGTTTTTAACACAAAGACTTTATGGTTAGTGCTGGAAACCGATTAAGTTTTAATTTCTTTGCCCTACAGAAATCCTTGATAAATTCAGATTGATTTTTTTTTTTTTAACACTGCCTAGTGTTTGGTACCTTTCTGAAACAAAGCATGTACCATACAATGTGACTGAAAGGGGCATATAGGCCAATAAAGATACACTCTGAGCATTAAGGCCAAGATATTTAATATCTACAGGCTCCCTGAAAGTTATCAGGTATCCTTGGGCAGAGCTAAACTAACCCAGACTATATAGACTGTAAGCATATCCCAGTGGATACATAAACCGTAGAGTTGTCTATTTATATATGCCAGTGTGTATGCACCATTTGCAGAGTCCTGGCTTTTTTCTAAATGCTTGGTTTTGGTTGTATCCCCCCGAAAAGGAGAATCTAGAGGCACAGACCCCATGGGCCATATTTGCTCATCCTTTGGCAGTATGAAGAGATCGGGAACATCTATTCCTACTTTAAACCAAGATTTGCACCCGGAGTGGGTTCTTTTTGCAATGTGGTCAGCCTCTGCAGCCAGAACGGATGCAAAACGAAAGGACAGAGCCCCTTTCCTACCCCATGCAGCCTTTACTAATGTTTTATTGAATAGATTGCCGGTCGGGTGCAGAAGCCAGGAGTGCGCCACAAAGTGTGGGAGGGAAGGGTTCCACTGTACAAAGGCTGGAAGAATCACTGTGCAGAGGGAGAGTTGCTTGTGTGCTGGCCCCATCAGATGCCTGTACAGTTTCTAACACAGTACAGCGAGGGCGGAGGCTTTCTCCCCGCCGAATTAAGAGCAGCCTTTCAGCAGAAGATCTCTTCGCCCTCTGGTGGTGCTTCTGATGAATGAGCATCTGGGAAAGGAAAGACAGCCATAAATCACCACCAGAAGGAACAGGCAAGGAAAGGGCCTATTAAAACAACCACTGCCCTACCACTCGCTCTCTCATTCCCAAAGCACCCTACAACCTGTCTGGGTGGCTGACATTTAAAATACACCTTTTAGTTGCTAGACCCATCAATCCCAGGCACTTGCACCTGGCAAGCAGCAAAACTCCTGTGAGTAGCCCCCAACAGCCTTTCATCCAGTAGTGCTGGGTTCCAATTGGCCCTGGGTCACAAGTACCGATAGCTTTGAGGCTCAAAAGCAACTCTCCACTTGAGATAAATCTCTGGTGGAATCTACTGTATCCCTTCATGCTGGCAGGTCAGGAGGGAGGTGCAGCAGCTCCAAAGGGGAGGAGAGGCCACCAGACTAGCCATGGTGAACAGGTCAGGAATGAGGTGCCCTGACAGAATATGGGGGGAAGGCTGAGGAGAAAAGACTTTAATAGCCGAGGACGCTGCAGGTGAAGAGCTCAATGGCACACGTCTGGAAAGTTGTCCTAAGACCTAGCCCTGGCTCTAGGTAGTTTTTATCAGCATCTCCCTCGCATAAATATGGACACTGCATGGATGAAGTGGGGAAAAAAAAGGGAGAGCTATGAAGCCATCCAGGGTAAGCTGGGAGAAAGGAAGGAAAAAGAGCACTGGGTACCCCCTTGACATCTGCTGACAGGATGCAACCCATGAGGCTGGGGATCAGTGTAGTCACCATGGCTGCAGACATGGTGTTCCCATGAGAGCAGCAGCAATGTCTCACGGGGAGGAAGGAATCAGAGAACATCATCACGTCTGGTCTCTGCATGCATGGGCAATGAATGGGACCCCCTCCCACACATGCAAACTCACTTTCTGCTGGAAATTCCACTCACCACCTCTTTCTCTCCACTGCGTGCTCAGATATAATCTGCTCCTTGGCTCCCCAAGGTTAAACAGCCCTAGAGAGCTGCTAACCCCTAAACATCTTCTTTGGCCTCATCAGATACTCACCAGCAGGTTGGGAGCGCTGTCCTTTGCCCTTTTTCTTCTTTTCCTTCTTCTCCTTTGGTTTGGCTAAACTGAAGAGGCGGGCGGGCTGTTGCCCCTCGGCCGCCTTGTTAGTCTGGTTCGTTGTGCTAAGCAAGTGGAAAGTGCCCTTTTCTTTGTGTGTCCTTGAGAGACTGTTCCTTTTGGGTGACACAGACAATCCTGCATCTAAGTGCCCCTGTTTGGAAAGGGAAAAACTGTGCTGCTTGGAGTCCTCAGCCGTGGGCAGGGAGGGAATCCGCACCGTTTTATCTGGGAGATTTGAAGCCTGCAAAGAGGTGAACACAAGTGTTTTACTGGCAGAAGCAGGCAAGGATCGCAATCAGAGACAGGGTGATCTTAACGCAACCACTGCGAGAGATGGCCTGCAGGACAACAGGCTACCTATAACGACCACCCAACTGTCATCTCCCAGTTACATGAGCATTTTCTCCTAACAGAAGCTGATCACAGACAGCCCTCTCTGTCCAACAGGAAAGAGACAAAGATTTTAAACATGAATCCTCCCTAATGATGTTAAATATCAACTAACTAACTAATCGAATAATTGATGCATTTTGCATCAACTATTCGATTAGTCGATAGGGCGATTCCGCCTTTCAAGTGTACAACAGCTTTAGGGCTGTTGGTACACTTCAAAGGAAAAAGTGCCGCGTGCAGCCTGGGATCAGCTGGGGTTCCCAGCTGATCCCGAGCTCCACGTAGTTCTGCTGCTTTGAAATGCCGCATGCAGCTTGGGGATACCTTAGCTGGTCCTGAGCTGCATGTGGTGTTTCAAAGCGGCAGTGCTGAGTGGAGCTCGGGGTCTGGTCCCAGGTTCCGTGCAGTGCTGCCACTTTGAAGTACTTCCTCCACTTCTCCCCCAAGGGGAGGGGGAGCGACTAGTCCTTCACATCCCTAATCCTCCCACTTCTGCCTAGATACAGATGGGGGCACAACCTCCATTGTGGAAGTCCTTTTTAAAAAGCTAGGAAACCCAGGGACCCAGCTGCAGAAGGTGCCAGAAGCTATGAGAGCCTCCTAGGGAAGAAAATGTTGTTGGGTGTACACAGTGATGCATGGCCACAAGTGGAAACTTCCTAAGTAGAAAGGACAAGGTAAAATATTGTTCTGCTTTTCTAATGCAACATAACACAATGTATGTAAAGGGGAGAAAGGTTAAGACATGAATTCCAGTCCTTACAAATGCCATCAAATGTCTCTAATAATAGCTCTGACATCTTTGGTATGATTCCTGCCTCCTTGCTACCTTTTGATGACCCTGGCATCTTGTTGGTCTTCAGCACTATTGTCTCATAGGTGTTCCTACAGCACCCCCTGCCAGATTCTCTTAGCTTCATGAAAGTAACCTGGATCGGCACGATAATGTACACAACTTCCTGGCAGAACGTGGCATGCTGATCTGCTCTCAAATAAATCCCAATCAGAGGGCCTGGCTCATGATACAGAGATGTATGAAGAAACATCATTCCCTGGGCTGCTCAGGAAATAGGGTGCAGCAAATATTCTTCTGATGATCTGCAATTCAGCATTTAGTGCTTGAGAGACATGACTGGTCTATTAAGTCACGTGGCACAGTTTCCATTCCCTGAATGCATGACACTGCTTCTGCTTCATCCCAAAACAAATTACCTTTTTGTTACGGAATTAATTCTGCGTCTTAATTAAATACCTGCTCCAGGCATGAAATCAGATTTCTGCACGTCTGTATGAACTAGGCCATTCTTCCCTTACCCAATCTCCTGCTAATGACTTAGTTCCCTTCTTGTATGCTTGGCAGCAGAACAACTTCAAAGGGAAACCAAACCCCAGGTCACTATAAAGTGTTGGCAGTCCCTGCACGGTCTGCTCTTCGCCCATCGGCACAGATCTATGGCGAGCGCCTCTGCTCTGTTCCCACCCTCGCTTGCTGTGTTGTACCTACACACTAGACTGGGAGATCCTGACAGCAGGGACCGTGTAAAGCTAGTTGTTTGTTAGGCGCCTTATTTTTTCCAGGAATTGAAATTAGACAGGCTGTTCCATTCTCTAGGGGTGGCGGGGTAGGAAACAATTCAACTGGCATCATTTATGGGGGGGAGGTATAGAGAAATCACGCTTTTAGGGGCTAGGTCATACATATACATACTAAATAGCAAGGCCTAGCTGTCTAGTTGCAAGGTTTGTACTGGGAGATCTGTTCAGCACCAAACCTGTCACCCCCAAGCTGCTTCTGTGACTGCTGAGAGGTGGGGTCTGCCCAGCAGTGTGTCCCAAATGAATGGGCTGACTGCCTGAGGAACACATCTGTGCTTGCCTGTATGTTTTGAACAAGTGAACAAAAAAGGCGTGAAAAGGCCAAAGGGAAATGCACCAGTGATTTTCCCACCACGTCTCTGTAGCTGCTCTTCCCTGCCATTTGCTGTCAAGCCACTGAGGAACGTCTCAAAACAAGTTGGCAAAACACATATGCATTCACAGGTGAGCCCCACTGGAAAGACAAAAGACTCACTATGACTTCACAGAACCCTCAGCACCTGCTAGGAATCTTGATTCCTCAACACTCTGAAGAGCACCTTTGGCCAGACATCTCGCCTGCCGCCTTCCAAGACACAACAGGCAAAACACAGCCCCAAACATCAGGTACAAGAAGAGGTGCCACTGTTAGGTGTCAGGCTCCACGTATGAGTCACAGCTTCTTGATTTCACATCTAGTCTGACCTCCTGCATCCCAAATGGGCCACAGAACCTCCCCTGCTAATTCCAATATGCAGCCAATGGATTGTGACCGAAGTAGATCATCTCAGCCTGGCCTGAGAACTCAACAGGGAGCAGAGTGATTACCTGACGGAGGTCAGGCTCCATCTGCACTGGGGGTAATCGCTCCACTTCTCTCTTGAATTGCTCCTTCTCCTTCTCTAGTTGTTTCTGTGCTGTGCGGAGTCGCTCCAGATCCAGCTGGTAGGCTTCCTTCTTCAGCTTCAACTCCTCTCTCCCCTTCTCCAGCTCCTGGTGCCCCTTCTGTGCCTGCTCCTCTCGCTGGCCCAGCCCTGTCTCTCGCTCAGTCAGCTCCTTCTCTCGTGCCTCCCACTCCTTCTCTCTCCTCCGCTTCTCCTCCTGGTGCTGGGCCTGCTGCTTCTGCAGGTTGGCCAGCTCCTGGCGCTGCTTCTCCAGGCTCCGCTGCTTCTCCTGTTCGATCAAAGAGTTTGGCCTGGAGGAGCTCCGCATCAGTGCTCTCTCGCTTAGCATCACCTTCTGATCCTCAATATAGGTGTCCTGCTGCAACACGACAGCCTGAGAGGAGAGGCAAGGACAAAGTCAGCGCAGAACTCCCCTTCACTGAATGCATACACATGCAGTAACTCTAACGTCACAAGGCAGCTTGCTATTGTAGTAAGGGGGGAGCGAGGGCTTCACTAATCGCTGTTAACCCTTCTCTGAGACCAGAACCTTAAAACGTTGATTGATTTGCCCTGAGGAATTAGAGGATCCAGTAAGACTGCTTGATGTGAGGTACTTACTGGTAAGACACACAGCAGGCCTGCCTTGCAGAGCACTCTCAGCCCCCTGCTGGCCTGGGCAGCAAGAGACCAGGAGACAGTGCTCCCACATTTGAGCCTAAGGAATGGCAATACAAAAGGGAAGGGATGGGGCAGAAATGCTGACCTCCATACAGGTCGACATGCTGAGGGGACTGGCTGCTCAGGGAAGCAGCACGTCAAGTCTCGGCTTGACAAAGCCCTGGCCGGGGTGATTTAGATGGGATTGGTCCTGCCTAGAGCGGAGGGCTGGACTTGACGACCTTCTGAGGTCTCTTCCAGTTCTATGATTCTATGATAAGGGGATGGTTGGATGAAATAACATGATCTTGGTAACTAATTGACCATTCATTATAGGGAACTTTCTGGGTGTCTGGCTGGTGAGTCTTGCCCACATGCTCAGGGTTTAGCTGATCGCCATATTTGGGGTCAGGAAGGAATTTTCCTCCAGGGTAGATTGGCAGAGGCCCTGGAGGTTTTTCGCCTTCCTCTGTAGCATTGGGCACAGATCACAGCTGAAGGACTCTCTGCATGTTGGGGCCTTCAAAGTATTTGAAGGCTTCAATATCTGAGACATAGGTGAGAGGATTATTCTAAGAGGGGTGGGCGAGATTCTGTGGCCTGCACTGTGCAGGGGGTCAGACTAGATGATCATAATGGTCCCTTCTGACCTTAAAGTCTATGAGTCTATGAGTCAAAGCGGGGCACCACGCTTCAGACTGACCTACCTGCAAAGTGCTGAGTAGGCTGTGGAGATAGGTAATGCTTTCGAGAACCTGCTGAAAGGAAACAAAAGCACAAGAGCATTCCCGTTATACCTCATCTTACAGTCTGACCACAGGCAACGCCCTTTCCTTCTCCATTCTAAGTCCTGCAATGAGGCTTACAAAGCCATACTGTTTTATTGAAAGCCACACAAACATCCTTCTCCTTGCCCCCCAGCCTTGCCATGCTCTCTTCTCTGTAATTACTTACCCCAAACAGACGTACTACTCACAGGTATCTACTTATCCATTTATCTCAGAGACATCTCAGATAATCTCACCCAGCCTCCCTCAGCAATCATGCCACTGCCAATCTTTGAAAGAAGCTGACCGTGGCTTTTTCTTGGCGCGTATTCTCATGACACCGTGCGTGCAGAGAATCATTGGGGTTGTTTATACCTCACAGGAATTTGCAGGTTGTTCTGTTAAATTAGTTCTTGCTGTCCCAGCTGGTGGAAGAACTAACGACATTAAGAGAATGGCTACTGGGAGGGAAAGGAACTGGCATAAGCCAGTTTTCAAATGTTTTCAAATTTGCAAGGATATAACTATTAGGGTAAAAATCACAAAAAGGTCCAGAGTATGTGTCTGTAGTGCGTGCAGGCACCACTGTTCACAACTACAAATTCCTGCATTCATGGCTCAAGGAGACTGCAAAATGACCACTCACATGCTGCATGAGTGTTATTGGGGGGCCCATTGAAAATACAGTCCTTAAAGACAAGCGCGCCAGTATAATTTACTAGTATATTGCCAACAGAATGCCTGATGCTTTGGGTGACTTCCCATATCTCAAAACATTG